AACCTGCAACACTGCCACGAGTACTTTTCTAAGAGGCTGCAAACTTTTTTTTGATAAATATTAAATAAATTCTATGAAAACTTTTTCATCGAAAGCGTCAGGATGCAAATGGAAATTGCAGTGTAACACAATCAGTTGTAATTTACGTATAGCAAGTCTATCCTTATCAAAAAACTTGCATAAGAAACTTTTCTTTGTGCTCTAAAATTTTTTTTTTTGAACAAGTTTACTATTGTTAGTTTCAATATTGTGCCAATCATCACATGACGAAAAATGTATTCTGGATTTTTTACGCACTTTCGAATCTTTCTTGTTCTCGACATACGATTGTTTGTGCTCTTAAATAATAATAATACTGTGGGACAACCAGGTCAAATTCAGATTTTATTATATATATATATGAATAGGCCAATTTGAAAATTTGGCTAATTTTTATACAGTATAGATAAAATTTAGTATTATATATATAGAAAAATAGCAAAAATAATTTTACAAAAACTTTTTAATAACAATATAAAAAACAAATAAACAAGATACAAAAAGTTAAACAATTTATTATCTTAATAGTTGCTACTTATAAAAAGCTAATTTAACAATAAGCTTAATACAAATTTAATCTATTTAAGTTAAAATTAAAGTTTATAGTCATATTAATATATATAGTAAAATATAAAATTGCTATATAGCTAGCTATACTTATAATATACTGTATTTTTACTAAAATAAGCTATACTTTTGAACAATTTTAAGCTTAAAAAATCAAAGATAGCTTCTTTTTAAGTATAATAAAATTATAAAAATTTTAATTAATTAATTATTATTAATTACTACAGTATATAGCAACTAATAATAATTATATAAAGATGAGTTAATAAAAAAAAGACAAATTGTTTTTAGTAAAATTTTTTAATTTTTAAATTGAAATATCTTAGCAACTATTTAATCAAATTTGTTAAAAAATTTTTATTTTATCTTGAAATTAAAAAAAAATTTATAAGATATTTACTAAAATATTTAAACTTAAAGTCAAAAAAACTTTTATTTAGAAAACATTTGTCTCTTTTCTATTGACTTAACTATATATTTAAGTTTTTTAAACAAAAAAGATGTAGCTTATTATAGAGAAAATATAGTAATAAATTAACACCATAATTTGATAATAGAGTACAATTTAATGAAATTATAAATATAGTGCAAACAACATAGTTGCAACAAATAAAATTGATAAAATTCAATTGCTAACCCTTCTTCAAAAAAATAGTAAACACAAAATACTATCTTAAATGTTAAATCAAGACAAGCTAAACACTTTTATAGTTTTGAATTTTTTTAAATCTATTTGTAAAAAAGTTATAGCAAATTATAATATTTTATAATTAAATATGAAATTTGGCCACTTATATATATATATATATAAAGTAAATTTGGCCTCTTTAAGCATTTTATATATATAAATTTAGCTACTTTAATAGAATATATTTAGAAATTGACTAAAGCTAAAACTAACTTAATAAGATAGCTTTAAAATTAATCAGTATAAAAATAAATTGTATTTATATAGCACTTTTTAGTAATTTGTTTTAATTAATTTTATTAGTATTATATATATATAAAGTAAAGTAAAATTTTAAAAAACTCTAATATAACTTATATATTACTAAAAAGGAAATTTTGCATAAAAATTCATCAAACATTGTATTTTTATATAGTAAATTTTTTTAAATTTTGCTTTATTTTATACAGTATATCTATTTGGCTAAAATTATACAAACTTTATACAAACTTAAATCTAAGTTGTATTAGAGATCTTTGGGTCTTGGTAAAGTTAACAGGAAAAAACAAATTTTTTTAAATAAAAGTTTTCTTGATTTTAAGTTTGAATATCTTAGCAATAATCTTATTAAATTTAATAGCCTTTTTTTATACTAATTCTATATAATTCCTAAATTAAAATAAAAAAAGTTTAGCAAATTTGATTAATTAGTTGTTGAGATATTTTAATTTAAAAATTATAAAAAATAATTTGTTTTTTTCTATTGCTTTACTTTATGTAATTAAGATATTAAATAATTATAGTACAATGTCAGAAATGATGCTAAAATTGGCTAATACTGAAATTTAGAGTTCCCATTTAAATCTATAATACCTACTAAAATTTATATATATTTTTTTACTAACAATACTACCCTCAAATCCTAATCTAACTCTAAAAAAAATCCCTAAAGAAAAGGCTCAAAAATTTTTTAAAATTTCATAATAAAATAAGTCAAAATTTCAGCATCATTCTCAACATACAATTATTTATCAAATAAATTATTTGATATCTAGATTACTATAAAAAGGTTTGTATTATATAATCAAAAAGAAGATCAAAATTAGGAATTTAACAACAAAAATATAAAGAATTAAAAGTTAGATTTTTTATTTTGTATATTCTAATTAAAAAATTTACAGTAATTAATTTAGATATTTAAAAGAATGTTCTATAGAATAGGTGGGCAAACTCCGCAAACCCCGCAACTTCACTAAATATTTATTAATGATTACTAATTATTAGCGAAGTTTATTTTATATATTGCCCACCTATTCTATAGAACATCTATTAATTTATAGTATTATTCAAGCTTATAAATATTTATTATATATTATTTCACTAGTTTTCTTTTATAATATTTAATTTTTATTTTATTATTTTAATATATAAAAGAGTAAATATTACTATCTCTAGAACTAAGTTCAGATAATATCACTAGTCTTACTTTTTATTTTTTTTAACCTTAGTAGTATTTTTGTAATAGTTTTCAACTTATTCTTGAGGTAGTATTACTTATAATATATGGTATACTAGATATTCTATATTCAACAAGTTTAACAAAAATACTTGCTATTTCAAATTAGTTAGAATAATTAAATAATAGGTGATTAAATTTTGATTTAATTGGTGTTTATAACTTTATTTTTTGCCTAAAATTGGTTTTCTTTTTTTTTTTGCCTTTTATATTTTTTAATTTCTCTTAAACTTTAGTTATGAAAATTTTGGGCTTAAAAGTAGAAATGATTGATTAGTTTTCTAGTTAATGCATTATTTTTTTTCATATTAAAAAAAAAAATTCAATATACATTGTCGCGGCTGAAGCTGGAAATTAGGGACCTTGATTTAAAAATAAAAACCCTACCAAAATCCACTTATACTCTTATATTATTAAACCTACCACTAAACCCTAACCTAACCCTAAAAAAAACCCTAACAAAAGGCCCAAAAAAATTTTTGAAAACTTCATATTAAAATAATTAAAATTTCCAGCATCAGCCGCGAACCTACATTACTGCTGTATTACTGTAAGTTATTGATAAGTAATTCGCAATTTTTAGTATCTGATAACGAATTAATAGCAAACAGAAATATGTTGCGAAAGGAAGCAAGCGTACTTTTAATATTGCTGTTGTGTGTAAAAAGTAGATAACGTAGATAAAAAAAACGACAGTGATGACGGCAATAGAACACAAAAGCAATAGATACAAAAAAGCTTACCTATTATTAACAGTAAGAAATTGAACTTTGCAAGACGTTGACTTCTTAGGAACTCGTCTGTAAAATGAATAAATGAAAGAAGAGACTCTACAGATGGGAAATTGAAAAGTGCAGTCACATAAGACGACCAAATAGTAATCACCCAGTTAGATCAGAACTAACAAAACGATCTGACTCTTCAGGTTCCATGTGAAAGTTGGCGGTATGACGAGCAGTGAACAAAAAAATAAAGAAAAAAAAAAATCGTGAAAAGATGAGAAAATTAGTATGTATATTTATCAGGTAAGTACGAGTATTTTCGCGTTATGAGCGTTATTTAGAATAATGGCCTGAATTAAACGCGTTATTTCGCGAAAATACGGTAGGTGAACCATAATTATGTGAAAGATCGAAGATCGACAGTGAAAGTTTTGGTCTTCCCAATAAAGAACTGATTGATGCACCTGGATGAACTTATCGTTATGCACGTATATATCACTGGCAGTGTTTGTCATTTGGATAACTCGGACAAAATTCAAACATAATTTGAACGCAAACTTTTATCTGCTTTAAGCTATTTAACAATGCAAACTTTTTTATCCGTTTAGGCTAATTTTAATAATGCAAACTTTTATCCGCTTTAAGCTATTTAATAATGCAAGCTTTTATTCGGTTTAAGTTATTAATTAAGTTATTCGGAATTTATTTTTGTGTGCATTTTTAGGATAAATTTAATCATGAGAATCGGACTGTCCTATGTTTTATCAAACCTAAGTTGGAATGGGTTTATAAATTTGGAGCAGGTTAGATCAACCAACCATTAGCAAAAATTTTAGATTTGTCATATCTATTTTCTGATGTATTTGATACTAACTTTTAATTTTTATACTAACTTTTAATTATTTACTAGATATTTAACAATATTATTATGCAAATTTGCATATGAACTTTCTGAAAGCTAGGTTTTAAAATTAGGTTTTTAAAGCCATTTCAAAAATCAGCTTCTAAAGAACTTATCAACTTTACTCACCGGAAGGTGTAGCGCGACTAATCATCGCTGCTTCATAAAAAGCGAGTATATCAATTTGAAGACGTTATACTATGTCACTACGAAGTTTTACTCTCAAAGGTAACGATAAAATCTTAATGTAGTCCAATAAGGCGTGTCAAGTTTTGAGTAACACTCATATTATAAACAAATTTAAATATTTTTTTGCTCCAGGTAATTCATTACTCAAAAATAAAAACGACAATTGTAGAATTTTTTATAAACTAACATTTATACACGTAAAACCGAGTATATATCTGATTTATACCCCTGCGACCTTGATATAGTGACCAGGGTATAATTTAAACACTGATATAAAACAATACTAATCAAAATAAGATAAATAAGATTTAAACGTAAAAATAAAAAAATTTAACAAGTTTTAATAATTTAAAAAATTACTAATAGATTTAATAACAAATATTTATTTTTACAACTGACTTAAAAATCCACGGCTACAATTCTACCTTCAATCATTGGTGCAACAGTAACCCAATCCTTCACAAACTCTACTTTCTTTGGTACCATTTCCACTGCAGGATTGGATGTAGATGTTGCTTCTTCTTCTTCTTCTCGCACTTTCACATGTTCACTCATAGAGAGAGATAATGCACTACTGATTCTTCGACTAGATATATTTCCATACGCTGATTTCTCTCGTCTTGTCTCGGTAAATTTTTTCCATGAATTAGCGGCCTTAATAACTGCTTCTTTCGTGCGATTTTCACAGCTCATATTATACTTCATCGCATTAATGTAATAAAGGCCAATGAAATATCGTCGGACTAAAGTGGAAAGAATCACTCCATTCTCATCATCCACAAGGTATTGTGTAGTTGGTTCAGCGAAGGCTTTGTAGCCATCGTTACCTGATGCCAAATAAGCTCGCGTACAAACTGTATATGTCTTTTGCATATCAAGCTTTCCGATAATTCGATGTGGGCCAGGATCATCAGATATGGTTTCATCTTCACCTTCGTCATCAATTTGTCTTTCGGTAAACCATACATTTCGCAAACGATCGCCGGGTTCTGCATTGCGATTATATTCTATTTTTAACCCGCTTACAACCGGAAACCGACCTTCTTGTTTAGGAACCATTGAAACGGCACTTTGCAGCACGTCCCATAGCTGACGTCCAGTGACACGAATAACAACAACTGTGTCTTCAAACGGAAATATTTCGAGCAAATCTCCCAATGTGATTTCTCCATCATATAATGAATCCGATCGGATAGTTCCAGCGCATAAGATAGCACAATCAATATTATAAGGAATACATGGTTTATAGGCATAAAACATTAAATCCGCAACAAAGTTTCCAAATGCTGTCTCTTGCGTACGAAGCATTGAGGAACGACAATCCCATGTTGTTTCGGTGTAAGCTACAGGTTTTGTCATTGATTCTCTGATCTCTGATGTTGCTGATTCAATCAATTCTAACAGACTTTCATCTTCAACAATAGATGAGGTAATTTTTCGTCGTGTCACTATAAATTATTATATGTTATGAAAAAGATTGAATAATTATTAGAAAAATTTTTTTCAGCAAACTAATTAAATTCAAATCATTAAATGATAACAAACCAGTTATATTTTTTATTTTTTTAAGAGTTCGTCCTCCTGCATTGGTATTTTCATCAATATCGAGTTCTACGATACTTAATTCTCTGAAATCAGTTCCACTCTTCACGAGTCGTATTCCATCATCACTCTTAGATTCATCAATCTCAGATTCGTTTCTGTTCCACCCATGAATAACATCACATCCTTTACCAATGTAATAAAAATGATCGTGTCTATTTTGGAAAATGTCATAGATCACAAACAGATTTAATATAAAGTTAAGAATAAAAATTCAATTATTCATTTAAATAAATTACCCTCCAAGCATCAAGTCAATATCATCTTTACACTGCTTGGCAAGTATAATATCATTCGATAGCCGACAATGTGTGAGAGCAATAATAAGGTCAACGACGTGAGGACCGTTGGGGTCGCGCAACTGTGCAGAAAGCTCTTTTCCAACACTAACGAAATCTTTATATTTTATAGTTGATGGAAGATTAGGAATGGTATCAAGCCAATCTCTAGAACAGTTAAAAAATTTTTTTATAAATAAAACTTAATCCGAAATGATTGAGGTGAATATTTTAGAAAGTTTAGATAATATATGATTATTATTATTATTATTATTATTATTTACTTTTCAACCAATCCTATAATTCCAAGCTTGAGTCCATTCTTTTCCAGAATTACAAATTTTTTACTTCCGACCACAGGTTCATCAGTTACCGAATCAACAACATTAGAAAGAAGCCAAGGAAAATTAGACCTTGCTATCAATTCTTTAAGAGTTGGTACTCCAAAATCGAAATCATGGTTTCCAAGACAAGAAGCATCAATTCCAAGAGCATTCATCGCCGGTATCTAGCATAAAAAATAATAAACAATGATTTATAGTTTCTTGATTAATTATAATTAATAACAAAAAAACAAAAGGATCGATAATCGAAATCGAAGGGATACCATGTGCATTCCTTTACTAACGCTACTTTCAATTGATGGGTTAAAAGCATCACCACTAAAGAATACGCATGAATTTTCACCATAACTTTCTCTAAATTCTTTAATCGCTGTAGCAAACCGAGCAGCGCCACCAACAGGTTCATGCTTCTGTGGGCGGAGATGATATATATCATTAAAATGAAGAATTTTTAAATTGGGCATTTTAAATTTGATGAGTTTAAAAGTTGTTCAGATTTGATCAGCGAAGAGAATTGGTCTCTTTTTCATGTGTTTGACTGTAACACGTAGTACATGTATGTACGCACCGGTACGTACGTACATAAAAAAATTTGCTCCATTCAGCACCGTTAATTATATATAAATGCACAGCCAACATTATCAAGCTTTTGTAAAAAAATATGTACCAATTTCATACATCTGCAAAGCGTTTTTTATAATATGTGTATGTACGTATATGTTATTGTATTTATTGTAATGTTAACGTCTCAATGACCTGTAATTTAATGCAAGCCCGTAAGGGATCAATCCCGGATCAAAATTTTCATAGCCAATCTAAATTCACTTAGTTTTTTGCTGTATAGTACCATATTTCGAAGATTAATTAAATACTGATATACGATTTTAAAACGAACTTTACATTCAAGATTCTATTTGAACCTACATTCACCAGACGTTGTATATACGTACGTTTATGGAGCAGAGCACATAATGTATCAATCAATATGCACATATATGAAAAAATATGCGCGATAACAACGATCGTTAAAGTCGGCACTCGTGAGATTACCGATGTTAATTAGGACAAGCGTTAGTTTTAAGGAAGACCGCCCCAAATGTGGAACATAATTATGCAAATTGACGAGATAATGTCACCCGTCGATCGGCCCATCGAATCATGACCTTACAGCTTTAAAAAATAGATAATCCTGAAAATTCCTAGGTACCCTGGTATTTAATTGTTATCCGCATGACAAATAGGGTCGATCGACTGTTGCGTTTTACGCGTTACGTGTTGCGTGTTAGGTCTATAAAAGAAGAATTTTAAGTGTAAATCGGTATTAGACTTTTTCGGAAGTATTAGTTGAAATTTATAAATTTCCTAATATAGTTATCGATATTATGTACGTATTAATTACTAGATTTAGTCATGGGTTAAATGTTCGGGTGGCAAGTAATGTTATGGGAGGACAGTGTCATTGAGGTACCCTCCTAATAAAGAGAATTCTTATAATCGTCTTCATTGATAAATTGTAATCATAACCTGAATTATTACTCGTCAATAATTATCATTTCGATGAACTAAGCTAGCATGAAAAAATTCTGTCAGGTTTTGTCGATCACTTGTTACATGATAATATTGTAGTCAATCGAATTTGCACTTTAGAAATAAGAAATTTGAGATAATTTTTGAATAATACAAATCTTTGGAGTTCGAAATCCCCATCACCGCAAAATGCAAGTTATTCTTAAAATATCTTAGGTTGAACTTTATTAACGTTTCAACAATGATAACTTAAGTATGATTCAACTTTTTGATGTTTAGAGACAATTTCGAACTCTACAAATTGGTAGAATTCGAAAATGTACTTAAACATCGAATTTACCAAGTAATTTTCAAGAGTATTTCAGTTTTAAAAAAATAATAACGATTGTTAAAACTAACTGTTTTTAGCATATCGTGTGATGAATGATCGACAAAACTTAAATATTATCTTCGAGTTCGCTGATGCCGAAAAATATTAATCTATCAAAATAAAATTTGAAGGAAATAGCTTTGTTTACTTAATAGCTTTATATGCTCATCAACAAAAAAAACATGGTCAATTATGAAATAGAATCGTATTCTCGCGAAATTACGCTCACTTGTGAAAATAATTACGCGTTATTTCGAGACAAAGATAAAATTTTCCTAACTTGTCTGCTATATCTAATTATTTGTTGAAACCCTAACGTGAGGGTGCATGGGCGTTAATTTGAAACCATGCTACTATTTTTATGAAACATGGGACCGTTTTCAATGTTTTGATTATGGTTCAGATATAATGATTTAAATTTAATGTATTCGTATATGTTCTAAAATGATGAAAAATGTTTATATCATCCCTAATTGATAGACTCCAAGGTTGTATAACAATATGGAAGCCTTATTTAGTGCCGTTGGATATCACTTTAGGAAGAATCGTGATTTGGAAGCTAAAGTAGCGCCAAGATCGCAGTTCAATTGAATAATATCGCTAAGAAATTTTCATTTGGCATATCTAACATTCCCTCATCGATATTTGACACGTAACTAAACTTGTTTATTTGCATCAGTTATCGTATAGGCAAGAAGTAGATAAATATTGCATGAATTTAGTATATGAATATTATGAAATAGTCACCATGTATTAGCGAAACCTAAGTGTTTTTTACATAATACAATTTGACAAAATTTCATTGATTGAGCAATAATAATAAGTGAATTCTTTGCTAATTATTTATTACTGTATAACACATGTAAAAATACCGTGCAAAATAAAATTTAATAAAATGTAGAGTTGAAAGTTTCGCGCGCTAATAAAACGATAAAAATCCCATCTAGAAATAAGCCGAGACCTATTAAAGTGATTAAAAAAGCCATCAAAGCTGACGTACTAAAAACACTAAGAATACCGCACCCACAAAGTAATGCGTGCGAATAGATGCACCCAAAACAAAAATACCACTAAAACTTAACAAAGTACACATCAAAAACAAAAAAAAAGATAAAAGACCACCGAAACGCCTAAAAAATAAATTTAATAAATGTAATAAATTATTGTTGCATAACAAATAAAAACTTTGAAAAGCAATGCAATAAACATAATAAAATTTTGCATACCAATAAACGATAAGATCACCCAAAACCATACCAGCAGCGACTCCAACAACTACTGTACATTAAAATTATACCTAATTATAGCTCTAACGACGACGGCACAATACTATTATTAAAAAAAAAAAAAACAACAATTAGTATAGCAATGCACAACAAAACGTATTTTGGTATCTGTTAGCTATTATTTAGAGTTACTAAATAATACCCAGGCCACACGGCGAGGACGTCGATACCAAGTGACCCAAAAACTAAAAAATTGCAAACTATACCAAGCTTTCACAACCTGGGTTTGTGAAAGCAAAAAATACTCTCGAGAAATTTGAGCCTACTATAAAGTAAAAATTAGTAACAAAACAAAAACAAACTCAAACTCTCGAGAGTAAGGGGCCTTTCCCAGGCAAGGAGGGTGTCATAATCTTCCAGCCCGTTCTTGACGCTCTTCTTGCGCGGGCCAGTCAATGCGCTAAAAAAAAACTACTTACCTATGAAAGAAACTTCATACGAAAAAAGTTAAAAAATAGGCATAGCAACTGAACACAAGTGTGTACAGAACGAAATACTTATCTTA